GCTGGGGAGCCTGGCATGGTGACAGGGCACGGGGCAGCTGGCAGCGTGCTGGGCTGCAGAGGGGCAGCTTGGAGTGGGGGAGAGCAGCGTGGCCCCCCACCGTGCTGTGACAGTTCGGTGAAGGGGAGTGGTGTTGGGGCGGGGGACACATCCCTAGCACAGGGGTCTGTTGCAGCAGCTTGCGAGGGCTCAGGCAGCAGCGAGGAGGAAAGGCTGTGGTGACAGGGCACGGGGCAGCTGGCAGCGTGCTGGGCTGCAGAGGGGCAGCTTGGAGTGGGGGAGAGCAGCGTGGCCCCCCACCGTGCTGTGACAGTTCGGTGAAGGGGAGTGGTGTTGGGGCGGGGGACACATCCCTAGCACAGGGGTCTGTTGCAGCAGCTTGCGAGGGCTCAGGCAGCAGCGAGGAGGAAAGGCTGTCTCTCCCTGGCTGCACGGTGTCCGCTGTCCTGTGCCCTGCCCGTGGGGAGGCTCTTACTGGTGCTCTTACCCTGAGCATCCCTGCCTCATCTGCGGGGCCGTGCTGTGGGGCATGGCCGTGTCGCACAGCGTTTGCCACCAGTGGGGCAGGGGATGGACGTGTGTGTGCCAGAGGGAGGGTGCTTGCACATGGACACACACATCCATGTGCCCCAGCACCCCCAGGAGCGCCTCGCTGGGGCACGGGCTGGGGATCCGGCCCCAAGCTGTGGTGCCCTGCGGAGCACAGGGTGGGCGAGGACAGCCCACGGGGCAGCTCCAGCAGCTCTGGGGACAGGAGGTGGCCGTGGCACGGGGAGGGGATGGTGCTGCGCACTGCAGGTGGGATGGTCGGCGTACGAGGAGGGTCTGCATGCAGCGCCGAGGTGGCATACAGGGAACATGGGCACAGAGTGGAGATGTGGTGGGGAAGTCTGGGAGAGCCAGCCCTGCTTCTGTGCTCCATGGGTGCCTGGCCCCTGCCACGGGGCCGGGCAGGGCATGAGGTGCTTCTTGCGGGATCCCAAGATGGGCAAACGCCCAGTCCTGGCCCCAACCCTGGACCCGAAGCCTGGCACAGGGTTCCAGTCTCTCCGAGCCGGCGTGGCCCACCC